CCAGTGTAGTGACCTGCAGGATCGTTTATTAATTCTTCTGCTTGTATTTGTTTGTTTAAATATATTACCATTCCTTTTTTCTTTTTCTTACTTGAAGAGATAAATACATTTCCCAATTTGTTATTTCTCAACAGTCTTTTTTCGGGTTTTTTTATATGCGTTTCCTGTAAACATATTAAATTGAATCTTCCTTTCTCTAAAAAATGAAAAACTCTTTTTCTCTTAGAGGCCACATTCAAGCCCTTTATATTAAGTGAAATTATTTTCATATTTATCAGTTCTTATATTTTGTTTGATAAAAAAGGCAACAAAAAAAAAATCAGATCTAACTTAGACAATTTGGTAAAAGGACAGATCAAACTATCCAACGCTTACAGCTGCACCGGCTTCTTCTTCGTCTAAATTGTCACCTTTTCTTCCCATTGCTGGTTCTTCTTTACTGTCTTCTTCATCTCTTGGGAGGTTTCCTTCTTCTTCATCTGTTCAGTTCGTTTTTGATCCATTTCGGGATGTTTTCCCATCACTACCTGTTGGACTTTTCTTTTCTCTTCGCTTGCTTTTCGATTTCCACTCTGTGTTCTTTCCAAAAGTTACAAGCTTTCTTGATTGAGTTTAGTTTATATCTTCTTTGGTTCCATGTTAGGGTTACTCCTTCTATCTCCTCCCATCTAAACGGGATTCTGTATACTTTGAGCTGTTCCGTCAGGAATTGATAATCTTTTCTTTTTTTCAGTATCTGGCTCGGGACATCTTTAAAAATCTGAATTTCCGTGCCGCGTATTACAAATCTGGTTTTGAAATTTTTCTGTAGAAATTCATCTTTTGTTTGTTTTCTCAAACAATATATAAATATATCCCTTGGTAGACCTCTATTCTTAGCAATTCTTGAGTTAATTCTATAAATTCTATCGTTTTTCATTTTGAGTCTGCGTTATAGACTTATCAAGATATTTTGCTAAGTAGGGTACTAGATACTCATAGAGATTCTCGTTAGGTTGTTCTGGCAATTTTACACACTTCTCTCTCAATTTTATTTCCAATTTTAGTGTTGTCTCATAATCCTCTTGTTGAGATCTGGTTAGCTCTTCCATTTTTGTCTCAACCTGTTTTGTTCTCTGTTCTATTTTTTCCATTTTTGTTGTTATTTTCCCTATATCTTTGTTGATTTTGTCTAATTCGTGTTTAATTAATTTAGCTTCATTCTTCAATTCATTCTTAGTCTCATCTTTAGATTCTCTGATTTCTCTTCTTGTCTCTTCCCTCGATTCTCTGATCTCGTTCTTCAATTCTAAATGTAGTCTTTTCATTTCTTCGATCAGACTAAAATTTGGATCTTGTCCTTTTGCAGCCATCTCTAT